GCCAAAGCATACTCCTGCCCTGTGCAAACTTCCAATGTGTTTTCATAAGTTTTAGAAGAAATCCATCAGCCTCCAGCCCCACGTGGTCTGACTCACCTGTGTCTGAGCTGCTTTTCGCCCCCACCTTGTCCTTCCTGTTCCAGCCATACTGACCTTCTTCCTCTTCCAGAAAAAGCCAAGTGGAAGCCAGCTTTTGCACTGGCTGTTTCCATTTGCCTGGAACATTTTTCTTCCCAGAACTTTGTGTGACTTCCTCTTTCTGATCATTTAGATCTCAGCTGGAACGTCACTTCTTCAGAGAAGCCTTTCCTTACCACCCTACTGTTCCTTTCTATCCCACCATTGTTTTTCATTTTCTTCATAGTGTCGATTATTTGAAAGCATGCAATTTGCTTGTTTATGGGTTTATGGTCAGTGGACTCCCTCCCACACCAACACGCCCTACTGTAAAGTATGTTTCAAGTGAGTGGAGATTTGCACATATGCATGTGCAGTATCTCGAATAGCATTTAGCATGGAGTAGTGGTAATTAATTAATAAATTAGTTGAATTAACTCTGTTTCAGATTGCTCTATTTTCTAGAGCTCCTGAGATGCAAACTCCAAATTTCTAGTTTTTGGCGCTCATCTGGATCCTTATGGGCTCTGAGAATTCTGCCTGTGAGCTCATCCTTGGCGAGAATTTTCTTCCATGTGAGTCTTGAGTGCCTGCCCCAGTAATTCTCCATGAGAGGTTCCATTTTGGACCTGGAGGGTCCAAGAAACTCACTGGTTCTTACATTAATTTCTCAGCCATAGAGATTGATTGGAATTTGGAACACACAGCTGTGTGTGGTGCAGACTTCAAGGACCCAGTGTCTTAAGGATGAACCTTTCCTGCCCATTGTCCCGGCTTTGGAGCTGAGACTCTGTGGCAGGCAAAGATTCTCTAGTCCTAAAGTCGCTGATAGTCCTAACTCCTGGCTTCATTCATGGGCTCAATTCTAAGTGTATAAGGGGCCTGAGATCCCAGCTCCAGCCCCCTGTGCAGGTGTTAAAACCCAAGCTCCTTGGGCCTCTTTTTGGTTCAGATGTCCTGCGGGATACCTCTGTGTCCACTCCTGCTTGAATGCTCCTCAGTCTGGGCCCTAGAATTCCTCTTTCTTGCACTGAAGCTCAGTACTATGTATGTATTTGGCTAATGTAATATCTTATCCATTATCTGTATGTGCGTTTAGAGGGTCCCTGTCAGTCTAACCCACTATTGGGACCAGAAGATCTCTCCAGCCACTCTCCACCCCTTTGTCATTACTGCTCCTAACCCAAGACCCTGCATCTTGGTGATCTTGTGTCATTGGTTTGGTTTATGGTCCTTGTTAATGTACCATTCTTAGAGTCACTCTAAAGTACCAAGTACACCACTGGGCACCTTGGGTTCACACAATAAATAATTGCTCATTAAAGGAAAGTGAGTGATTTTCAATATTTTGTCACCAGCAGCTGGTCCTGATGGCTAGTGTGCAGCTCATCGCCTCCCCCCAGCAGCCCACTTTATTCTGTCAAACAATAGAGCCTTCAGGAGTGAGGAGCTTCCTACTGCAGCAGAGGGAAGGAGGGTGGTAATTAAGACAATAAAAAAGGGAAGGCACCTCAGCAGCCTTTAAAAGCCAGTGATTCTTATGGAGCCTTTCAAGGCAAAGATGGAATACATCTTTTACCATCAATTTCTTTTACCTGCCCCCATTACACCCAGGCTTCCATACATGTTAAGAGGTGATATAATAATGGTCCTAACAGTAGCTAATATTAGTGAATACCTACTGTAGGCCAGACACATGCCAAGCACCTTAGATAATGATATAAACAAAAATAATGATGATAATGATCATAGAGTTAACACATATGAATAGAGCGGGTTTACCCCAGAATGCAGCGCTAGAGCCGTAACTACACGGCATCAGTGCCACGGATGTTCGTCCACCTGTCTGTCCACCCACACATTTTACTTGTCAAAGTACCCTGAATGTTCTTTTCACTATAAAGTTTTGTTTTTACAACTGTGAGTTTCAAAGAATTTTTTTCTTTGGTTTTACATTGCCTGTCATTAAACTTTGATAGATTTTTAAAATTTAAATTAAAAAAAAAAAAAAAGACAAATCCCACAGCCCTTTCCCATGTGGGCCAGTCCACCAGACCTGCTCCAGGAAACCCTTCTCTGCCATTTCTTCTTGTCAGGTGTTCTAGATGAGACAACTGGGAGAAGAGCCTGGGCTGAGACTCACAGCCTGGAGGTGATGAAGTCAACCCTGTCTGCCTTTACAGGAATGTGAGTCTCCAGAGGCTGTGCCCACCACCCCAGGCCTCCAGCCTCCCAGTAGCACTGGTGCTCTTGGGTACTGTGGAGGCCAGGAAGTGAGAGGAGGTAGTGGGAGGTTGCCAGACAGCACAGGGGATCCTCTAGGCCCTCTCCCAGGGCAGTGTCCCAGTGGGCAGGAACAAGGGACGGAAGCTGAGGGAAGGCAGGAGACAGTATGGCATAGGGTAAGAGCAGGCCTGGGTTTAAGAGCTAGCTGGGTGACCTCAGTTTTGTCATCTATATAACTGGGTGATGATCTACTATTTGTCTAGTGCTTACATTTTGTGTCTGGCATAGAGTAAACACTATATAAATATTTGTTAAATAAATAAATGCCCTGAAATCCAAAACAAGAGTAGTCCAGCTGTGGATGCCACAAGGGAAGAAACAGGAAGGGCTTCTTTGGATGATAAAAGGAGGAGCTGCCCTGTTCTGGGGGAAATGATTTCATTCTTTGCCTGTTAAGACCCTGCTGGAGGGAGCAGGATGTCCTGAAACAATCATGGCTCCTGTGGGAGGGGCTGTGATGTCCAAACTCAGGCAGAGAAGGCTGGAGGAGGCACTGGGAGAACAGCACAGTTTTTTTTGGCAGCTGCTGTGATGAGGACCGCCCCTGGCAGGTAGCCTTTTTTTCATCTGTTATTGCTGGCTTCCCACTGCTGCTGGGGTTCTTATGATACAGTAAGCAAGTACCATTATTTTTCTGCTGGAGAACTGACGACCAGGGGGTGGGTGGGTGTGTGGGTGTGTGAGCGCGTGTGTGTGTAGCGGGGAAGCAGCATGATTAAGTTAAAAGGTGGGTGCTACCTTCCCCCTCCCTGGCACCTGAGAAAAGGAGGCCCCATTAACACCCTCTCTGCTCCAGTGAACACAGCCGAGACACAACTGATTGACTTCTTGCCAGACATTTGGTTGTCGTTAGTGACTAAAGAATAGAAATACAGTACAGTGTATATAAGCTACAGGACAGTATCTTCTATTTATAGGGTAAGAGTGTTGGCATGGAGAGACGATGGGAGGGAAGGGAAAGAAAGAGAAGAGTTATTTATAAAAAGGGTGGAACATCCATTTTTTTCCCTAAACGTCTCTCTAAGAAATTACTAATTCCAGGAATGAGACAGAAAATGTATAATATGGGCTGGTACATTTGGGGGGCCTGAATGTAAGGAAATTATCAAAGAAATACTGGATTCTTGTCAAAATGACACAAGAGGCTACTGAAAGGGGGCACTCACTGCCCCAACATGAAACAATTTGAATATAATAGTAACTATAGTCGATGGAAACACAAAATATATCGAAACTCAGGGGTTCATAATCACTACTAAAAAACATTTTATTGATTGCCTAGGGAACTTTCTATGATATTAACTTATCATTTATTTATTTATTTATTTATTTATTTATAAATATTATTTATAAATAAAAGGAAAGAAGTAATTATCTATATGGCCATTCCTATGCAAACTGTATTTCAGGGTAACTAAAAAATTGGTGAGAAAAGTTTTTCCATCATCACTGATAAATGCAGAAAGAACTAGAAATAGAATTAGAAAATCACCATTTTGCAACTCCTCATGATCATCAATGGCTGCTAAAATCATTAAGAAAAATTGATAGAGAGCATTATAATGGATGGACCATACACTTGAACCAACATATCAAACTAAAAGTGGGAAAGAACTATATGGTACCACCTATGAAGCAGCCTCATTCAACTGTGGTGGTTTTTAACCTTGGCTACATATTAATTCCCTGGGGAGTTTCTTAAAAAATCTGGTTCCTAGTCTATGGCTATGTTACCCTGAACAAACCTGATCCCATCTGTCTCGGAAGCTAAGCGGGGTCGGGCCTGGTTAGTACTTGAATGGGAGACCACCTAGGAAGACTAGGAGCTATAGGTGTAAAAAACAAAAAAAATAAGGGATTGTAAGCTGACAAGGTCCTTGCAAACTGTGAGGTCAACCAAGGATTGCCTCTCTAGTTCCCAGTTCATACCCTCAGACCAGTGTGTGCTTTAGCTGTTTTTTCTCCCTTAAAGTTAGTAAGCCAAAAACTAAGTTACACACAGCCCTAAAAGTCGTATTGAATTTGTCTAGAGCAGGGGTGGACAAACTTTCTGTACAGAATCAGGTAGTAAATATTTTCAGCTTTGGAGGCCACATAGCCTCTGCCAGTATAGTGGGCCAGGGGATTGGAGTTTGCCCATCCCTAGTCTAAAGGAGATAAAAGGACTTTTCTAAGTCATTCCTGGAATGTTTCCCTATTTCCCCCTCCCAGAACAAGGATCCTCCTTTTGCAAATCCACTCATGAAAATCACATCAAAATAACTCAGCAAGCATGTTTCAAACCAGACTGTTGGAGCATAGAGCTGATGAAGGGCACCTGGAGGCTCATTCTGTTCTTCTGTACACTTTGTGTATGTTTGAACATTTTCCAAGAAAAGACATATAATAAATGAAATTAAAAAAAAAAAGAAAGAAAGAGGAACATTCCCTCACAAAACACAAGCTGAAACTAGCAGGAAGTTTGAGGATAGTGGAGCCCAAGTCATATGCTTCATCTGTCTCGTCCCCAAGGTGGTGGTGGTGGAGGGGGCGTGCACAGCCTTTGGAAAGCGCTGGCAGATGCATCAGGTGGCAGAGCCTTCGGGGAGGATACTCACGACCAATAGAGCAGCATGAGCAGGAAGGGGCAGATGATGAGGGCCTGCAAGACCTGCCAGTCCCGGCACAGGGCGGCCAGCCCGGGCATGAGGAACTGCCCTGCTATGGCCACGAAGCTCGCCACCATCGTGATCATGAACCGTTTTCCGGGGGGGCACAGCTCTATTCCTGGAACACAGAAGGGACAAGAGAGACATGAGCGTCCTGCCCTATGGCCTGGTAGAGCCACGGGTACACCAGGGCCAGTGCACTTCTCAATCAACCAAGAAGTGTAAAATTGCTTTAATTTGCCCTACGTGGTATTGTCAATGTTGAAATCCTCGTTTGTTGTTGTTGTTGTTGTTGTTGTTTAACAGCTGTATGAGCTGTGGCCTGGACTGGGAAAGGAGTGAGATCATCGCTAAAGGTCATACAGCAAATCAGTGGCAAAAAAAATGTTATAATTCAGAGTTGCCTAGCCCAGAAACTAAGAAACACTGCTTTGTATGGGGATAGAGTGTTTGTATCACACATCGTTCTCACTTCCTCCGCTCTCTAGACATCACTGAGCTGCTTGTAGAGTAGATTCCTTCTCATGCCCATCGGCTGCCATTCATTCCATCTATGATGCCATACTAGGGGACCTTCTCGACCTCTGCACAGGGAACCGAGAACACCCATCTGTTCACTCCCAACCACCTGCACCACCCTTTCTTCCAATCCAGACTCCAGTACTCCTTGGAACTGAGATCCAGGCAACCTACTTACAAGGTGAGACCAAGACAGAAGGAGTCGCAATGCACCTTTATCTGTGTGAATGAGACAAAACCCAAACAATAAAGCAGACTTGGATCATGCTGTAATAATCTCATCGGAAGCTTCCCTCCATACTGGAATTCTCCCGCTCACTGTGACATGGGCATGTTGTACATTCCTTTCTCAGTCTCTATTAGGTAGACAGCTCCTCCCGCAGGGTTGTATCTGATTTATCTTCATAGCTCCAAAACAAAACTAGTGTCTGCCTTCTATTGAATGTCTACTGAATGGAAGAACACCACAGTCCCTCGCATTTGCAAGAATCTATGCTCTCAATTTGATCTTGGGTAAAAAAGATGGTCACAAAACCTTAAACTAGCAGCCAAGTGACAACTAGTACAGATCTACTACATGAATTCCTATAATAAAGGTCCTCGATATTAGAAAAGAAAGCTGGCTTTTATATATTTTTCCCCTACAGAGCATGTAAATTTATTTGCTATTCTTCTACAATACGCAGTATTCCCTAAAGCTTGCTTGCTTTTTTTTTTTTTATTTTTTTATTTCTTTTAAGGAAGGCTCTCAGGAGAGAATACTTTTCATGCCTTTGTACCTGGAGAGTTAGTTTGTAGATCAGTTGCTACAGCTCATCTGCTGATTGTCTAGAGACCAGAGTGGAGGTTGGAGGTTAAAAGGCTTCCCACCAGAAGGGGAGCAGATGAGAGGGGAGAACAGACAAACTATACTTGGTCACAAGGATAGAATCAGCCCTAACAAGGAGAGGGCACCATCTACACCAGCTTATCTGTAGGAAAAAAAATAATAAAGTCATCAGAATTTCTATTCTTGCTCTGCCACAAACAGATCATCGCCCTAGCTATTGATGAGCAAGAGAGAAACCTGGCCTCACTGAATATAGCTTATAAAAAATGTTTTCCATTAAATCAAGAAAACATGGTTAAACAGCCCTCTCCTAGCCGCTGACTGTGATGCTGTTCCTTTCAATGCATAGGCCAGGTTCACTTAAAAGATTACTTCCTAGCAAGGCTCAGGTATTCACCCCAGGTATGGCATTTCTGCTTTTAAAAATAATACAGAGAACAGGGTCTTTTTAAAAAAGACTACTGGTTGCAGGTTCTAGTTTTCACTTACTAAGCACAAGCAGTAGGTTGGCTGCTATGGAAACTAGAAATCGGCATTAGGCAGGGTAAGCTTAGTGTCTGCGGCTCGGCACAGGCTAGTATCAGATGAGAAAATTAAGCACTTGGCCACCCAGGTAACTTAAACAAAGTCAGAGAGATAATATCAAAGTAGCATCATGGCTTCATGTCAAAGGCTTTGCTGCTACAACAGGCACTGCACATGGCTTGCAGTTCCTCTCTTCGCTACTATTCTCTTTAATTTTGTGATACGATAAGTACAAAAATATCTGCAGCTGCAATTCTTTCACCACAGACCCCCTCTGGGACGTCTAATCCCACACACTAATCTCCATTACATGCTATCACACAAGGATCACGAGACAACTTTCTAAATCGAGTTCTAGGTTTGTGGATGACAAAGGAAAATCGTCCCTTGTGGGCAAATGATTCCAGTCTGACTTCTCACTCTCTCCTTGCTGCAAACGAGATGTGACCGGTACATATATTAGCATCACTGACGATATGACAATGATTCCATTGTCATAGTTTATTTTCTGTGGACTTCTCTCATTCCTCTCCCTTAAGTGCTCTGAGAGATTCTCTAACTCCTTGCTACTTGGACCTGAAGCATCAGCATCACCTGGGAGCTTGTTAGATACAGAGCTCAGGCCCCACCCAGACCTACAGAATCAGCACCTGCATTTTAACAAGGTCCCCAGATGACTCACTGAGAAGCACCGGCTAACTATATATCCCCCAAACCGAAAGAATCACCCGAAGCGGGAGCAATGTTTTTGTCTCCCAGACACTCATCTATGAGAAGTGAATAAATAAAATCATTTCCTGACTTCTCCATTCTTCTGTTTTAGCTAGGAATCCTAGCAGAGATTTTACTTATTTCGTCAGGTACAAAAATGAAGAGCACTCCAGCAGCTATATGGTAATTCAACATTCCTGCCAGGGCAATGGAAAAACACAGCAATTTGATATAAGGACACAGGTATGACACTTGCAGATAATGACCTTTTGCCTTGACTCACTAGAAATTCTTTTCAAACTGCCTGAAATCAACTATGTTCTGAAGGTGGCTATAAAGATGTTAAAAAAAAGCAATTATCAAAGAACCGCAGGCACTTTAAGCTTGCCATTAATCACATGTTCCTTTTGGATGATGAGAAATCAGTTTTTCTGAAGTGGATGAGAGGAAGAAATACGTCAGAGTATTAAAACCTTAAGTCCCGGCATCTAGTAGGAGGGGATGGGAACTTCAGGTGGATCATTTCTGCCTAAGAAGGGCCTGCTCCCAGCTCTGCAAACGGCAGTTGGTACAATGCTTCACACACTTCAGAGATGCTTACAGCCACCTGGCCAGGGCCACTGGCCTTGATCCTGAAAGACAGGAAAGCCTGCCACCAGCAGAGAATGGTGTCCCTAACCACCCGCTCAGGACCTGGGTTGCATAGAATAGGTCACCCACAGGCAGGCATCCATAGCTCTGAACTGCCAGCTGGTCAGCGGCACTTGTGGAAGGCCCGGGCTATATGCTGTGTCACAACACTTCCCAGAGCCACTTTCTTTGCCAGTGGGGCCAACCCCAAGTCATCTTAGATTTTTACTTATGGGCTGCGCCTCTTCATTAGGTAAAACAATTAATGGTCACAAAAAACTATCATCTTAGGTGATGTATCATAGATTCAAGAATAAAAATACTTCAAGTGTCTAGTGTACAAAGCTTTCACTGCTGTGGTTGAGAGCCTGGAGGCTAGAGCCAGACGGTCTGGGTTCAAATACTGTCCCTAGCACTTATAAGCTTGTGACCTTGGTTCAATCATCTAGGAGTTCTGTGCCTCAGTTTAGTCATCTGTAAAATGGGCTGTTGTGTTCCTGAACATAGTAAATGGTATATGTGAGATTTTATAAGTAATAATATTATGCATCATTACCATATATAATAATGTAATGATTGCCAAGTCACTCTTTGGTTTCACTCGACTGACCTCTTTATTATCCATCTGATCTGCTGAATTTCAGGGTAGGGCGAGGTTTGTTCTAAAAAGACTGAAAAAGAAATAGCCTATAATGACTGTACTTTCTTATTTTATTTCATGGACATTCTCTTAAACCTAGAAACAATTCATTAATTAAAAAACAGAACTAAGTGAATCCAAGAAAACCGCAACAAAAATTCCCACTGTTAAAATTACCTTTTCCTTCACCTTAATGGAGAAGGCTTAAAAGCTCTCCTTACAAGCTTGATATTTTGTTGATAAGCAGAGAAATTACTGAAGGTTGTGAGAATCAAATAGCATGTAATTAAGACTTAATTGAGGCATTTGGCCTGGGGGAAAAAAAAAAAAGGGACTACAACCACAACAGTCTGAGCACATGTGGTTCAGGAGTAGCCCCAGGGGTCTCTCTGCAAGTTCTGTTGGAAATGTGGTGTTGAGACTGGAGATCTTTTATGGGGCTGTAACTCTAGGAAGATCTGCTTTTCAGAAGATTTCAGATTCTTACAAATTTCTAGGAGGAAAAGAAAGTGCTGCCCAGATCAGTCACTTCAGGTGATGGAGGAGGAAGACCAGAGGGAAGTGAGGCATGGAAACCTGGGTGGGGGTCATCAGTTGGCCCAATTGTCATTCCTCAAAAGAAGGGTATGGGGGTCAATGTGCTGTGTCAGTGTTGCTAGGCTACAGTCTCCAGGCATTTGATCAATAGTAACCTAGGCGTTGCTGTCAAGGTATTTTATAGATATATTTGAAGTCCATAGTCAGTTAATTTTAAGTAAGGTAGATTATCCCAGATAATCTCTGTGGGCCTGACCCAATCAGTTGCAAGGCCTTACGAACGAAACTGAGGCTTTCTTGAGGAAGATGAACACATTCTGCCTGTGGATGGCAGCTTTATCCTGTGCCTGAGTTCCAGCCTGGCCCATGAATTTCAGATTTGGCTAATGTGCCTCCACAATTATGTAAGCCAATTCCTCACAGAAAAATCTCTTTCTATGTATCTCTTCCTGGTTCTGTTTCTTGTATCCACGCCAGGTCACACAGGACCCCCATGCAGTCCTGTCTCAGAAGCTGCCTGCCCTGCTGGCAGCTGTACCTTCCCACAGTGTTGCCTGTAGGGACTGAGACCTCCTGATCCTGCTTCTTTTCCCAGGCCAGGCTGGACCCGGTTCCTGACTTATGGGGCACTGCCAAGCTCAAGGGGGCATCTAAGTCAAATCCATGAAAGCGGTAGGCAACATTCTATTCTCTTTGTTAAGTACGTAGATGGCCCGCAGATGGGTTC